ACTATGTGTGTGTTCTGTTACGTAAAGCAGTCCTCAGGTATGCACTGACATATTTCTAGGAACAGCTTCCTGTCATTAAGTCTTGGTTACAGTTTGTGGTTGGATAATAACACTAATTCCCCACTGCCAGCAGTAAACACGTAGGTTCCAGCTTAAATCTCTTTCGCCTTTCTGCTTCATCTCTTCCCCGACTTTCTGCCTCACTCATGCATCAGCACGTGGCCTGGCAGAATGGAAAAATGATTAGCTCTGGAAACAGACGCTGTACTCACATGGCAGACACACCTCTCCCAACAAATGTGCACGCACCCACACATTTTAGCACTCTCATGATATCTGACCGAGACAGTCTTCCATCCAGCCACACCCAGACATCCCCCTTTTCCATGCAGACTGTGACTCATGATTATGGGGGTTGCAGGCATACTTCCCCCCGTGCTGAGTTTGGAAAGGATGATTGGACGTGTGTGAAGTTTGCTCGCAGCTCAGACTTAACCTCACTGACAGTATTAATCCATCATACCTGATGGTTAACTCCATACAGGAATGCACTTGAGAGTACAAACACAAGCTATAGCCCAGCTGTGCAATATATCTTATTTTAATAGGGTTCTGAGTAATTGCTGTGGGGAGATTACATTATAAGTCGTAAAAGAAAATGTACTGTAAAAATTGCCAATATTTACACCGAAACATCCTGTTCTTCTTTGTACGTATGTTATGGTGTTGTATGGAGATACTCATTCAAACTTATAAGTAACACCGGTGTGTAAAAAGCCTAAATAAAAGGCTGTTTTATTGCAGACTGAAAAAGTCAGAAAAATGTAAGCACAATAACAAGATTCTCAGGGCCTCTATAAAATAAACACACCCACATAGTCACTGATCCTCCGTTTTACTTAACAGTGGAAAGCTTTAATACATATATTTGTTTGTTTTACAGCAAGCCCATGTGCAATGTTTGTTATTAAAAGGTTGTCTTTGTCTCACTCAAAGCACACAGTTCCAGTCAAAGTCCAATAGAGTTTAGCAAACTTCACACCTTCATGGTTTTGATGGCAACCTCTGTTTTTCTGGCATACCTTCTGCACACCCTGGGGCTTGGAGATAGCATCTAAGACAGGGGTCTGCAACCCATAGCACCCAAAGAGATTTCTTTTTGCCTCCTACTAAATTAATTTTGTCTTGAACCACAAAACCTTCATGACCTTTCCAAAAAAAAATTGTCTTGACAAGTTTTATGATATTTGCATTTTCAACTATTCACCCATCACCTTGTACTGATGCCTTCATTTTTTATTTTCTTTTTTTACTTTTTCTACCACGATTGCCATAAAACCATAATATTTAATCAAGAAAACAGTATTTGGCAGTGCTTGCGCTACACATTAAGCCTTTTCAGTCAATGTTAGGAGCAATTACATCCAGGCTCTGTTTGTATGGTTACTAAACTGGGCTTTATGTCATGCTTGCCAAGAAAGGGTACAACCTCAACTCAGCTCTTAAATCACCCATGCACATAGTGGCTGGGGAATTTATATATGACAAGAGAACAAATCCTGCTAACAGACCTACCCTTCTGCTCAAACACGCTGGTCGTCACTCACTCCGCGGTGCAGGCAGAGCGGTTACTCTGGAAACACTGAAGGCTTGTGTTGTTACGTTGACAAGCTTGTTTATTTGAGCATCTTTTCTAACAGATAGGGCCACATAGATTTAGAAATAGTAACCTTTGAGGATATTTTTTTGTCTCCTTTGTTTTCCCTCATGTACACAGGACCCAGAGCTTCCCAGCTGCTTTTCCACTTCCCTGTGTGAACACTGGTGCTTTTCAAAAACAAAGATGTAAAAATAGGCAACCAGGGTACATAAAGAAGTAAAGATGGACCAGAACATCCTGCTTAGTTTGCTGTGGAGCTGTGTTTTTATTTGTTTTTATGCTATATATGCCTGAGTAATCCTTCTTGCACTACATGGATTGTAAATATGTACTTGTTGTATATACAATGGTTTATATTGTTTATTAGTACTTATAGAGACCAAAATAATATTTTTTGTTTAATTAGCTTTGATTTGTGATTATCTTGTAAAATATTTATTTAGTTGTCGTCTTCTAATTAAAAGCATCAAAATAAGAAACATCAACCCACACAATGTGCTTTGATGCATTCATTTTCACAAAGAAAAATCAGCTAAAGATTGGGGGCATATGCTTTCACAAACAAATTATTTTCTGTTGGATTTAAAACTTCTTCTGTAAACAAAACCGCAGCGACTTCTGCCTTGTTTGTGTGTGTGTGTGTGAGTGTGTGGGTGTGCATGTTACCAGCACTAGAATAACAGACATATTGATGTCCCACAGATCTCCATGGGTCAGATGTTGCAGGAGTTTGGAAAGTTTCTGGGCCTCTTCCTGCTTGTGTTATTCTCCTTCACCATTGGGCTGACCCAGCTCTATGGAAAAGACCACGCTAAAGACACAAAGGACCAGATTAAACAAACCAAGGACTGTGAGGGTATCTTCTGCCAGCAACAGAGCAACGATGCATTTCACACGTATGTGCAAACTTAAAGCTATTTTTTAAGACAATGATTACTATTTAGAATACTCATTAAGAGATGCTGAAATTATACTGAAGAACAAATGCAAAGCAAGAGTTATTGCACAAGTATTAGATTATCTAGTATTTTGCATATATTCATATTTATAGTTGAAATTATCCAGAGAACTTAACATGGAAGAAAGGGGATATGTATCAAAATTTCTAAAATTATTTCCAGTTGTTAAATGTAAAAAATCAGATATCCAAAAGTGATTCCAACACACTAGTTCAGCAAGCACATCCTCCTTGCAGCTTTGAGTGATGGCTACAGGGTTGGAATTTATAGCTAGGTTAAAAGTGGTTATAGGTGCCAGATGTTTGGCCGGCAGCCATGCTTGTATTCAAGATATTGTTTTCTGTTTTCCAGGTTTATGGGGACCTGCTATGCTCTGTTCTGGTACATTTTCTCCTTGGCGCATGTTGCGCTCTTCGTCACCCGCATCAGCTACACAGAGGAGCTGCGCTCCTTTGTCGGTGCCCTGATCATAGGCACCTACAACATTGTGGTGGTTATCGTGCTGACCAAGCTGCTCGTGGCCATGCTCCATAAAAGTTTCAGACAAATTGCTGTAAGTTTAAACACCATTTGGCTCATCAGTTGTCTCAAGCAATTTGAGTTAATCTCAGAGCAGAAAGCAGCATCTGCTTTCACTTACTGTTAAGAATAGATGTTGCTTCGAGTCACCCTGAAATGCTTCACAGATGGCAAATTATTTCTTTGTGTGTTTGAATAATTGTTTGATTCTTATTAGATTAAACTGGTGATTTTGCATTTACAAGGTACTTTCACTTGAACAGTTTAAACTTCAGATAACGACAGGTAATCATTTTTTATGCTTTCTATAGAATCATGAGGATAAGGAGTGGAAATTTGCACGGGCCAAACTGTGGCTCAGCTACTTTGACGACAAGTGTACCCTGCCCCCACCTCTCAATATCCTGACCTCGCCAAAAACCGTCTGCTACCTGGTGACCAGCCTGAGGAAGTGGATCTGTTCTCACACTTCCAAGGGCAAAGTGAAGAGACAGAACAGTCTCAAGGTGAGAAAGATAATCACAGCTAATCATCATAAAACTTGGCATCCTACGTTTTCAGCAAACATCTCATCTTGAAGCTTATTTAGATACTACGTACAAATAACTTTTGGCAACCCTTTCAAATAAGGCAGTTGTTCAGTCATTTTCTAATTGTACCATCATGAATTTTGACATTTGATGTGCTGAATATGAAGTTTTTCACCTTTCACTTTTTGCAACTTATCCTTTTTGTTGTAAAATGATGATAGACCTCAATTATTTTGGAAACAGGCCTATGCAGAGTTTATGGAGGTTTTAGTCATAAAAAGTCTTAAGAAAGAAGCCAATTAAATTGTAGGGCTTAAAAAGTGTTAAAATTGACTCCATCTTAAAACTAGATGTGGTTTTCTTCTTGTAGTTTTCCACAGACCTTACATTTTGTCATGCTCTTAGTTTTTATTCAGATATTATATTTATAGCAGATGTCTGATATTTCCCAATATTTAAAACACTAAAGCTAACAGAGTGTCCACATTATTTTCATTATGACCTCTGAAGGTATTGAAAACTGTAACTAGATCTCTATGGTTTCCAGAATGTCTAACCTTGAGTCTGAAGCCCATCGGTGTGGTTACCTTGCAGGAGTGGAAGAATCTGAAACAGAAACGTGATGAGAACTACCAGAAGATTATGTGCTGTCTAGTACACCGCTACCTGACCTCCACGAGGCAGAAGATGCAGAGCATGGATCAAGCCACAGTGGAAAATCTGAACGACCTACGCCAAGACCTGTCCAAGTTTCGCAACGAGATGAGGGACCTGCTGGGCTTCCGCACATCCAAATACGCCATGTTCTACCCAAGGAGTTAAGGCAAAAAACAAACAAACAAAAACAGACTCGTTCCTCTTCCTTCCTTCTTGATGAAATCTTTGCTTCATGTCCCCCAAGCATGTGCAATAACTCTGCTCTTTGAAGTCTCTGGGGTAGTTTTAAAACCTGGACCTTTATTAAAGAAATATGTATTCACCAAAGCCTCAAGACTCAGGCCTCCTCTTTATTCAGCTATGTAACCTTTACTTTGTAAATAAAGAAAGCCATTCTTTTCGACAGGAAAATAATAAAAGATTTGTGGAAGATTTGGACTTTCTTGGTGATGACTTGCTTAAAAATCTGAGACAAAGCTAGTTTTTCCTTCATAATTTTACTTAAAGGCAGTGGGTGTTGATCCAGAGGGAGTGCTGGGGCTCCCACCTCTCCCTTTTTTTATTCTTTTCATCAATTGTAGCAACAGTCTACTAGTAGTCCATGCATATGTCACATCGCGTGCCTGACCCACCTCCAAGCTAAACAGGGCATAGCTTCAAACAAACAGACAAAAGAAAAATGTCAGAGTTTTATTAGGTAGGATAACAACAATGCTTTATAAATAATATTTATAATCTTACTTATATGAAAATAATTGCCTTAACAAGAAGGTGACAGTATAGAAATGACATGAGCTGATACTGAAGATCTGTGTCAATAAATGTCAGTATTTTAACATAAAATTGGAAAACCACTTTGAAAAGAATGAATTATTGCACTTTGGTCACCACATTTACAACATCTAAACTGTTCCTAATAACTAAACAAAGAATATTTGTACCTGATTGTAAAAAAAAAAAAAATCACATCAGATATTAGAAAAGAATGTCAAATTCAAGAAGCCTTATTTTCACATTATAGTCAACAGCTTAAATTTTGGATTCGTTTGGATAGCTTGGATTCGTTTTAAAATGAAAGTGCCACTATGGGATACCAGAACAGATGTGCAGCTCAAAGAAAGAAATAAATAAATGGAGGAATGTTTTTCTAACTGGCTACAATTTAATCTCTGTAATCGTAACAGGAATGCAGGGAACAATCTGTGGATAGAAGAAGAAATCTGAACTCATTGTTTGCTCATTAATCTTAGTTTTAACAACTAAACAGCAGACAACCTGCAATTACTCAATGCTGCATGAGTTGGCAAAAAAAAAAATCGTCCTAATAAATAAACCGATGTGTGTCACCCTTAATTTATTGAAACAGACACATTCATTGTCTTGCTGTGCCAGCTCTACACCCGGATTTGGTTTGGTGTCATTGAAAAGGAGCTTTGTTTCCTGCCTAATTGTTTCCATCCACGGCTGAGCCTCTTCAAGCAGGAGCAGCGCAGCAGAGATCCTCAGCGCGACAGGGAAAGATCAGCACTGCCTGTTTTTCAGAACATTTAGTCCTTTTCGGTTCTTCTTCTTAAAGGCCATGACAAAGTGGTGTGGGGCGATCTTCCCCCGGCCCTCCTCGTCCACCTGACCCATGAAGATGTAGTTCAAGCCTGGTGAGGTCACACAAAAAACACCTGAATGCAGTGGCGGGAACGGCAGAGACATTCAGGGAGGCCCGACATGAGAGTCTGCATGTGGCAGGTCTGTATGCCATATGTTTATATGAACACATATAAACATATTTACTTGTTGTTGACTGTTTGGACAGTGAGTTCTGCCGCTTACCTAACACCTCAGATAGATCGGCAAAGGAGCAGAGGAGGCAAACTCAAAGCCATTTCTTATTTAAAACAGTCAACCTGGAGCTGCATTGTAACTATGAGCATTTTCATAACATCATTTTTTTTAAAACATTTGAGAAAAGGCTATTTAATTCCAGCACTATTATAGCACATACCTCGTCTGATTAATGGACACTTTTTGCACAGGATAATGATCTTGGTGCTCATTGTCTTCCCCGCCTGCTGGATTGCCAGGCTGCCTTCTTTATACACATTGATGATGGAGATGGTGGCGTACATGCTTCCTCCTCTCATCGCTGCAGTAATGACCGTTCCAGTTATCACTGTCACAGACACAAAAGAAAGGAGAATAAGGGATGGCAAGCAAAGGTGCTTAAATTGTAGTAATTATGCAGTTCTGTATGTGTACTTTCTGAAACAATTTTACTTCTTTTAGATCTCAATGAGAAGATTTCCAAGTTAAATACTGCAGGTTTTTATAAACAAGTCTACAGCAAGTTTCTTGTCAGTGGGGGGAGGAGGGCTAGGGGAAAAAAAGGAATGTAAGCTAAGAATTTAACAGCTGCAGTGCAGAAAATTTCAGTTTCATCTTTACTGTAAACGAGATGAGGACAGTATTTGTCCAATCTTTTTTTTTTTTTGCTCTTTTATTATCTTGTCTTTGAAGTGCAGTGAAGCTGTAAAAGTGTCGTTGTGAGTTAACAAGATCGTCTCTGAAAATTTGATGTTGAGTCACAACGCCTCCTGCCTGACCTTTCTCAAATCTCTTCGTCAGCCATGAGCTATAAAGCTCCTTTATAAAGTCAAACAATGCAACACCAGAGGTATCATTGACACAGAATGTCAAATACAGTTTTACTGAGAAGTTTACATAAACCCAACATGTGCATAAATTGTCATATTGATGTTGAGCTTTTAACTGTGTATTTGAACCTTCCTCCTATCTTCTTTGAAGATTTAACGATTAAACATAAAACATTACAAAATTATTTCGAGAACAAGAATCAGCAGCATAAGTTTGATCTTAATTTAGATCCACTCTTATCCATACAGGGCTCAGAATTACACATGTAGACGCAAATATTTATGTTCAAGTAATTGTTTGTAACTTGATAATTATTATTGAACATTTATGTCTTGGCAGTGATCATAATTGCGTGCATAATGTGAAATTTAAAGCATAGCAATGGAGTAAAATTAAAAGATCAGATCTCAGCTCCAGAAACAGTCCATAAGAAACCAATTATCTTCTAATATAAAGCAAAGCTTCCACTTCCCCCAATGTTAAAACAATGCAATGAAGTGGGGGTTAAAATAACTTCCTGTTTAGTCTGACCGGAGCCTCCAGAAGAAGGACTCAGTGTTCTTGTTCCGACTCATGGAAACACAGTAGCGGCTGGCAAGTGACCCTAGAGGAATCATAGATGAAGAGAACCTAAAGGAAAAAACTGGACACTCTACACTGATGGCACCACTATGTCTACACTGACAGACCTGAGAATATCCAGAGTGGCTTTCTCAGTCAGTTGCTGCTGTTACACAAACCAGAGAACCGCTTTGGACGGATCTCAGAGAACTGAACTAGATTAAACACCAGCTGTTTTAAGACGTAAAACATTGATTAGACAAGAATGTTTTCAGTCTACTGTCTCACCACTTCTAACATGAGCTAAATTCCCCCTAACCACAACATGCAGGGGATATTTTCCACATCGTTTGCTCATCGGTTTCTGGCTCAAATCCAAGTGCAGATCTAACACGTAGGCAGCTAACATCCCGCAGTCTGTTTGTTTTACACCTAGTTACCTTACGGGCTCTAGGAGTGTGTGTGTGTTCATGTTCATACTGGAGGTTACTGTGCACTGAATGTGTACAGTACTTCAGTTTCTGACTGCCTATCAAGGCAGTCTTTCAGTTGCAAGACCAGAAAAAAAAAACTTAAAAAAAAGAGAGAGGACATGATCAGGACTGTAAACAGCTACTTACAGGGCGGGAGTTGGCTGTCAAGACCTTCAGCTGATATACTGATCCTCAGCTGAAGGGCTGGTTGGGATTAGCATATTTGCAATAGTTCCACAACCCAATACACACCCTGGCAAGTCAATATCAGCTGTGATCTATTAATTAGGGTCATTTATGAGGGTTATATGAACCACAACTTGCATTGATGTTCTCACCAAAATTGCTGGAGCAGTAATTGCTCTCAAGGGTTCCTCGTCTTTTGCATGTCTGCTGACACAAGGCAGCGGAATACTTCAGAGCTGGAGGGGGGCACACAAATGCACATGTAAATTTATGCAAGCATATAAGTTATGGATACATCTGCAGTCTTGTGGTTTCCTCACTGGATACTTTCAGTTGCACAATACTCTCTTCGCTGTCAACTTTGAAGACCAATAATTAAATAATGGAATGGAAAAACATCTGTTTTTCAAGTTCGAATCTATAAAGGGAAGAAATACGGCTTCAAGAAAATACAAGGTGACTGACTAAATATGTTTTTACTGGAAAGAGGAACAGCAGGGAGGAAACAAACAGAAAGCAGTATCGCAGAATGACGTCATCACATGGGGGGTCTGCCAAAATAACCTGGCCTGACTAAGGGAAAAAGCAATAGTGTGTGGGAACATGAGTGAATATGAAAAGAAGCCATTATTGTGGGCACAAACCCATGTCCACACTGCAAGTGAACTTGTTTAATGCACAGTTTACTCAGGGGAAATGGTAGCAAACACACACTTTTAGGATCAACTCTGTAGGAATATGTGCTGCTAATGGGGACTTTCCATGTCCGGGATTGTACCTTGTGCCTTTTCACTTCACTTTTCTATCTAAAATTACTTTTAGTGTGCAATGCTGTAACACAAGAACCACTTTTTTTGTCCTTTCATCAAACATGTGGGATTTTCCAAACACTACTCAAATAGTAGGTGCTGGTGCCTATCTCCAACTAGCGTTCCAAGTGAAAGGCGGGGTACACCCTGGACAGGTCGCCAGTCTGTCGCAGGGCTTGAAAATAAATATTTTTAAATTATTTTAATCTACTTAATCAATGGACTCCAATTAATGGCTGTATTTTTCTATATTTTTAGTGTGAGATCATGCATCTAAAATTAGGTGTTCCCAATAAGTGTGAGATGTGCAATAATTAGATCAACAAATGGATATCCAACTATTCTTTTAGTTGATATATATATATTTTCTTTTTTTTTTTGTAGGAATCAAGTTACTACATACGTATGGGCCTAGTAGTGACCGGCTGTGTGGTGGTGGTTGGTGGTGTGGTGGTGATGGGCAGCTTCTTCGGTCTGAACTTGTAGTGTCCAATGAAGCCATCCGCAGTCAAGCTGAGATCGGACAGGAACTGGATCAGGAGGTGATTCCCCTCCGAGAACACTGGTCTAAAGAGCAGTGCAGAGAAGAAGGATCGATGATGAACTGAGATGAAGTCACAAGATGGAGATTTTTACTAGGAAATAGTACCTTCTGCATGACAGAAATCACCTACGCTGGGGGGCTGTCTCCGCAGTATTTGCCGATTCTTTTGGCGTCATTTATTTCTGCCCCATTGAAAATGGAGACGTGGTCATAGCGGCAGTAGTTGTCCCGCTCCACGTCGAACTTCTCAAACTTTACTTCGATAATCTGCAGTAGTAAATAATTCACAGATGAATTGTCTTTTCTAAGTAATGGATACTGCACAAAGTATTCGAATATATGTTCTTTGTATTTATTGAGGTGCCTCTGCAGTTTCAGTTGACTGACCTGGTTTTTTGGAGCCTCTATATGCCAGAAGCAGGTGACACCAGCTGGATAGTCCTTTTCAGGCCAGTTAGGTGTTTTAAAAGTCCCAGAAGGCTTATCAAGTCTGCCTCCACAGTACTGGTCACCTATGAAGACAGAGGGGGAAATGTCAAACTGCTTTTCAGTGGATGATTTTTCAAATGTTATTTATTTCTTAAGAGCTCCTCTAAAATGTGTTCAGTCAGTGTGAACTTTTGAACTTATTTTTCTGCATGTGAAAAGAATTTGACTGCTGTTCCAAAAATAGAGCATGTCGTTTTCTCAGACATGAACTTATTTTTGTTGCTACGATAAAGACATAGTTCGGCAAACTGGATACCGACACGGTATCCATTACAAGCATGAACATAGCTAGGTACAAGGAACCATCCATTAAAATTCCACAGAAAAGACGGTAGATGAGACATCAAACTGAAAAATACTCATTTATCTCTAAGTGATATTTAGACCGTGGCTTTTAACTGAATTCCTCCCCAGAAGAATTACAAAAAAATAAAAATAAAAATAAATAAAATAAATATGTACATCATGTTGAGAGTAAAAACTGACATGCACCTCTAGGTTACTTTGCAGGAACTTTTGTTTTTAAGTCCTGTACTGGACAATTTAAACACCAAAAGCTAAAATGCAAACAGCACTTTCTAAACAATTAAGGTCATCTCCATTGACCAAACTAGTTCACATTTCAAAATTCAATACTTTTCAAACATTCTGGAAGTTTCAGCTTTTTTATTATGTTCCACAAATCGTGAAACAACTCGATTCTTAAGATGGCTTTTAATTTAAGCTACTATTCTGCTAAAAAGCTACTTTGATGCTTTCTTTGACATCAGAGCTAAATAAATTTTATTTCAAAGAGTAAAAAAAAAACAAATCAATTAATTCAAAGAGGACTTGCATTACACTACTTTCTTTTTCTTTTCTTCTTTTTTATTGACTCTTATCAGTGATTTCTCAGCCAGCAACTCATGGGTTTCATGGGTTTGAAAAAATAAGACTTAAAAAAAAAATTTAATGTAACTCTGTAAAAAACAATTTCCTTTTTTAGACCTTGTCATTTTTAGCTTTTGCACAGTTTAGCAATGTGAAGATACAGTGCCAACTTTGTTTTCTTTTTTATTACAATCTGGAAATGAATGAAAGAAAATTCTGTCCTGATATGACATGGTGTAGAATCCCTTTATCTTACACAGTTAGAGAACAATCTATTTTGCAACACCATCACAGTTCTCCATACTGTCAGAATATATTTTCCGTAACCATATTCCTATCTTCTTGCCTACCTCTCTCATGAGGATAGCCAGCAAAGAAATCCGCAAGGAAGCCACTGCCAGCGGTGTTGGCATCAGACACCATCTGCAGGAGCATCTTGTTGCCTGCGGACACGAGGGATCCGGGCTTGAAGGTCCCACAGAAACGACCAAGTCTCTGCCCATTGACATGACCACTGTGTACATCCACGTAGTCGTAGCGACAAAGGTTGTCGTTCTCCAGATCAATGAAGCGAAATGACAGTACGACCACCTTGCCTTCAGGAACCTAGGTTGAAAATTTCACACAGCATAGAACACAATAGAAGTTAATTTTTCAATGATGACACAGTTTCACTTGCTCCATGCACTCCAGTGCATGACGTTAGTCAAAAGTACAAAACAACTTATTACTATTATTAGTATAAGTTTTATTATTATTAATGCAAATAATTCATTAAGAATAATAAACTAGTATCTTCCACATCAAATATGATATGCGTCAAGACACAATAAATGAAAGAGTGCAGCTCAGTCTTTCATCCTACTTTTTTCATCCCTCATTTTGTGAATGAGTTCAGACTGGCACAGAGGTTCACCTTCCAGGACAACTTGTGCGGATTTGAGTTTTCCTTGTGTTTATTTTAGGTTTCTGTGTCTATTGAGTCTCTGTGTTGTCCGGTATACCCCTTCATAGTTCCCAACTGTGTCTCCTTTTCCTGATTACCCACTTTATATTTAATCCCACCGTATTCCTAGTTCCTCCTCTTGTCTACCATCAGGTCTGTTGTTGGTTTTGTTATACCACTTGCTAGCTTTGAGCTTTTAGCTTCCTGCTCATTCTGTGCTGCCTGGATTTTGGATTTTTGGATTTCTAACTTCATTAAATTGTCATTTCATTTAACTAACATGGGTCCACAGCGTCAACCTCACCATCTCTCACCGCATAACATGGCACGACTCTTAACATACATCCCAGGGAATGGTTCAGGTCAAAGCATGTTAAGTGTTAAAATGGCCCAGTCACAGTCTGGAAACTTTTTTTTTTTTTAAAGATACATTTCTCTACCAATTCTGCATATTCCATAGGCAGAGCTGGTAGGAACACACTGTACAGAGAACCATCTTAATCAGCTGCTGCTTTAAAGTAGAGTTATCTAAGAGGGCCGAGCAGCCAAAGAAGGAACAGACTCAGTCTGATGTGGCTGCTCAGAAGTATTTTTAGAATGAAACTAGTAGTTAGATCTGTCATATTTGACTAGTTCAACTCTTTAGAATTTTTGGAACTATCTAACTTTTTTTCCTCCATCATGGTCCTAAGTCGTGGTTGACAAACAAGTAAATATGCAGCTAACTGGACTCACTGTGATTCTCCACACACATTTGGTGTTTGGAGGGTAAACTCCTGGGTAACCTTGGCTTCCGATGACTCCAGACTCCCCTGTGATGTTTCCGCCACATGGAAAGATTGTTCTGTAGGGGACACTTTACACACAGTGATGACATTATAACAAAACAGGATTTAAAAAAAAACAATAACAATAAATAATGTGATCTGAATTTTAATAAGTTCTTAGCAAATAAAAACACATTGGATGCTTAAATATATGACCAGAGGCGGTCCAGATTGCAGAATATTCCTCTCGAAACCTCTCCTGTCGTCCTCGCCACCCTTCCTGTTACATGCATTCGAAATAATAAGAACATAAAGATATCTACCTCCCCTGAGACTGCGCACAGACTTCTGTGAGGAAGAGCAGAGTCCATGCGCAAAAGATACTGCATGTCCTCCACATGGTGTCGTGAACGGAGCAGGCGCTGCGCCTGTTTTCACTCCGTGGCATTGCGCTCAGCGACTGAAGCTGTGGAGGCGATGGAGGGGGCTGCTGTGCCCAGGAGCTGCTGTGGGGAGTTTGAGCAACTGCAAGATTGAGCACATGAATATAGAGTTAGTCCTGAGCTGTAGGAGGGGACGGAGCGCGGAGTAATAAAAAAAGGGAGTGTGGAGGGTGTATAATGACTTCTTACTTCACCTGGCCTGGAAAGCACTAAGAAGATGGCATGATTAAACTTGACTGAGCTTTCATGCATGGTTTGACATCCCTGTAGCCAAATTCCTCCTTGTGGCAGGGCTTGAATGAAAGAACTCTCTATTCCACTTTTTAGGGAATTGCAGTCCAATTTAATTTAATTTAGTCCGGCTAAGACAGAAAAAAGAAAAGAAAAGCGGGGGGAGGGTGGGAGGAAAGCAATATTAATTTTAATAATAATAAAAAAGAATAGTCACGAACGTCGAAAAACGATTAGATGCCAATCTCAAGTGGGTGGAAGGAAAAGCGCCACCTGCTGGAGTTTTATGACACTAAAGGTGAGTCGGTTTAATTCCGAAGGAAAGGATGAATTTACATTTTCTCCCCGCCAAAATTGGATATAACCTAAGATTTTTAAAAAAGAGAGAGACAGTTGACTGATACCTTCTTGAGACAAAAGGTTTACACAAAGTGCAGACTCCAAGTACATCAATGGAAAGTTCAGTGAAAGGAAAAAGTCTTGGAAAAAAGGTAGGTTATCCAAGAAACACAGATAGATGCAGTGTTGAAAGCCCAAACAGACCCAAATGAATGAACAATATACTTTTATTTATTTATTTATTTTAAATTTTAATGTATTCAACATTGTGTTGCCACCACCTAAATATTTTCAATAGGAAAGGGGCATTCAGGTTATCGTTATTTGACTGCCACGTAGTGTTTTGCCTGTCAGACGGTTTGTTTATTGATTTATTTGTCTGTGATGCTTTCCAAAGCCATCTCTTCCTAATAAAAACAAACAAAAACAAAACATTCTGAGGTATCAAATGCAATCCAAAAAAGTTATACTTTGCTTTCTGATTTCGATATCAAGAGAAATTATAGAAGGCCTTTTAAAAAAAATGCGAATTTTTCATAGTTTTTTCTAATTCAGCAAAAAACATTCTCACTGACTCGACGTTCGATTGTCGGTCCTGTGCATTCAACTGAGCTGCTATCGGTGATCGATTTTCTTTTCAGTTGCACAGAAAGATGGCGGATCGAACCCCTGGCTCTCAAAAAGCTAGCGCTAAGGTGAAATTTACCGTTTGTTCTCCTGTTAGCTAGGCTGTTCCTATCGTAGTGAAAGCTGTGGATTTTTTTAGATTCACGGAAAACGTTTGGTGTTAACATGGTAGCTATCGCAAGAGCTACGCGCGTTTACTGAAAAGTGACACCCCGCTCTAACCAAACATATCCATGCTAGGCTAGCTAGGCTAACCATATAGCTAATGCACCCCGGGACTAAGTCGATGTAGCTATTTACAAACCGCATCAAGACAAAGCTGATAACTTAGAGTAGTCAGCACACAAATGATACCTTTTAAAATATAAAATTTAATGTATATTCTTACTAAGGGGCAGATGTCATGGTAACGTTAGTAGCTCAGCGTGCTGGATTCAAGCAGTCCCGCTGCAGCTAATACCGCTGCTAGGCCTCTGGTTAATTTTTAGACGTCAGACTGTAACTTAGAAGAAAGTTTACAGAAAACGAAACGCATACAGTCCAAAACAGATATTTTGTCTGGCTTTTACAGTTTTTATTGTGTACATGTCGTTATAAGTTACAGACATGCACAAATTAGGTGTCAGAGTGTCTGTCATTTTGTCAGAATAACACTGAGCACACCCAGCTCTGCTTCTGGGTACTTGAATGCGCTGTTTATAGAAATTGTCATTCTGAGTACTGTTGAACATGCCCTTGAAACGTCACTCTTTGTTTACATCGACAGGCGCTGCTTGAGAGCAAACTCAAGTCTTTCAGCATTGGTAAGATGGCTGTGGCAAAAAGAACTTTAAGCAAGAAGGAACAAGATGAAATAAAGAAAAAGGCAAGTTTGCACTTCTTTTTTAATTAAGACTACTCATGTAATCAGTTTCTAAAAGGTTTCATTAAGTGTGCTATGGTGTATATCTGCTTATTTTTTGCTGATTTTTCTCGTTTTCAGGAAGATGAGCGAGCAGCGGCAGAGATTTATGAAGAGTTTCTTGCTGCTTTTGAAGGAGGAGGAGAGGGCAAGGTCAAAGCATTTGTCCGAGGGGGTCTTGCAAATGCATCCAAAGGTACAGTATTTCGACTGTTGTCAGTTACATAGCTACAAATTGTGATAAACTTGCATGTCATGCTGCAAAAGTTGGCATTACTATGTTTTATACCACTTATGTTTTTTAACATAAAATGTATGTGAGAATAATCATTGCAGGGGCAAGGTATTAATTTAAGAAAGAACATGTTTTCCCAAGAAGGATAAAAGACCAACTGTGGGAGATAATTGTGTTAAATTGCTTTGGAAATTAGAAATTGTCTTATTTATTTTAATAGGAAGTAGTATTGCATTAAATGCTGAGAAAAAATGCAAAAGCTTTTTATATAAGCTGGACATACACTGATCAGACATCTTGACAGATTTCTAAGGCCCTCTTATTAACTGTTTTCTAATTTTAGAATGCAGTATTTAATTTTTTAGGAAGTTTTCTCCTAAAATTTAGCATTTTGGGTTTAAATTTGTCCAGGTAACATTTTAGAATTCAGTTGCATTAGTTTTGTACAGTAAAAAAAATGGCTAGTTTCTGAGTTGATCTCTGATGAGGGTAAAATACTAGTCATTCTGATATTTCTGGGCTCTTCTCAACTTTTGAAATAAGAATAGGGTTTGTCTTTTCAGACGAATCAGTTTCTGATGACAAAAGGGGAAAGTTATACAAGCCCAAGTCCCGTTTTGAGGCCCAGCCAAAAAGCATCCTGCCTTTGGAGACTCCATCTCAGTTTTTACCACCAGACAAAAGAAATGTAAGTGCTTTCAATGCCAACTAATTGTGTCCCTTGTTTGTGCTTTACAATTTGTTTTCTTCGTAATAATATGTTTCTGTTTTTTAGACTTTAAAGAAGGGCAGTGAAAAGGAGAAGAAGAAGAGTAACTTGGAACTTTTTAAAGAAGAACTTAAACAGTATGATTTATCATATGACAATATTACTTTCTATTTCTTTTTTTTTTTTTATAAAATTTCAAAATATATATATTTTGAATTTCAATATGTGCCACTTGTTTCAGAATCCAAGAAGAAAGGGATGAAAGACACCGGATGAAAGGACGCGTCAGTCGCTTCGAGCCTCTGCCTGGATCGGAGGGAAGACGCTCCTGTGAGTGAATTTAAGCTGCTTCACTGTCTTCTGTGTACTAACATGGCCGATGCGGCCCCGTCCAGCACGCCTCACTCAGCTCCCCGCCCCCTTTGTGCTCCTTTCACCCTGAAACAAAATTTATACTGCTTTTCTGCTTCTTTTAGCGGATGGTTCTTCAAGAAGAAACCGTCCGTCCAGTGGTAATTTTGACTTAATACAGTGACCGTGAATATCTCCAACTTGCTGAGAAATTGAGTCAAGGTTTCAGGCAGCAACGGGAAATTCTTTTCTCGTTTCTGTGTCTGCAGTTTTGGACGACTGTGCGCCAGGATCCCATGATGTCGGCGATCCATCCACTACTAACTTGTATCTTGGAAACATCAATCCGCAGGTATCTTTTTTTTTTTTCTTTTCCCAGACTCATATTAAAAAGCAAAGTAAGACAAGGAAGCTTAGTGAAACAGCTTTGAATTGAATTGAATGCTGTAGTTTCAAATACTGCTTATTCTAGAGATAGAATCCTGCAGAGAATTATGAGTTTTGCAAAGAATTATTTTTGTTTTCTGCATATTTTCATAAATATTTCCAATTTGAATCATTATAGATGAATGAGGAGATGTTGTGTCAAGAATTCGGGCGGTATGGCCCTCTGGCCAGCGTAAAAATCATGTGGCCGAGGACTGATGAGGAGCGAGCTCGGGAGAGGAACTGTGGATTTGTGGCCTTTATGAACAGGAGGGATGCTGAGCGAGCCCTCAAGAACCTAAATGGTTTGTTTTTCTTTCATAAAGACCGCAGAACTCGTATCTTACGCCACCCTGATGATGTAAACACTTATTTTTTCCTGCTTTCCTTTAATTACAGGCAAAATGATCATGAACTTTGAAATGAAATTAGGATGGGGCAAAGGTGTGCCCATCCCCCCTCACCCCATATATATCCCTCCCTCCATGATGGAGCATACACTCCCGCCCCCTCCCTCCGGCCTACCCTTCAACGCGCAGCCCAGAGAGAGGCTAAAGAACCCCAATGCTCCAATGATTCCTCCACCCAAAAACAAGGAGGAGTTTGAGAAGGTAACTCAGAATGTCAGCCTGAGCTTTCATGGTATATGGTAGTATTTAATTGTGCTGGTATTGTATTAGCTATTGTAGTTAGTAGTCAGCACAGGTTTTATTTATAGTTTATTAGATTTTTTTTCCTTGTTAAATTTAATTTACAAGATTTTGATAGGAAAAGTTTGGATATATTCAGTTAGCTTGTCTTATTCGTAAGTGTTTATGGGTTTTGGCGTTTAGTAAAAGGAAATGTGTTCTCTCTGTGAAGTTTGAAATGCATTTTTTATATTTTTCTCCTGTTGCCTATTTAACAATACTCACATTCTATTGTTTATTATCTGATGTGACTTCATATACAGACTCTGTCGCAAGCCATAGTCAAAGTGGTTATCCCAACAGAAAGGTACATGTTTTTTCTTTTTTCAAATTGGTGTACAAACTTAGAAAAAAACCTAACATCCCATTGTGAAGCTAAAAGTTTGATCAATTGATCACTGCATGCTACAGGGGGGCAGCTCAGTGTGGATGAGCAATGGTTGAGGCAAATGGATTCTGTTTTTATGCTTGCACACAATGTAGCACCCACACATTTTATCTTGCGCCTTCATTTATCTTCATTGTTCATGTTTTCCTTTAAAATGATTG